GCACCACATAAAAGTGAATAAATTTTTTTAAAAAGTATTGTGTCCACCTACAACTAAAAAAAAAAACAATTAAAATAATAAATAAATGTTGCAAGGGACATCCCCACACACTTGTCCAATTATATACTTCGGATAAGAATTCCTGCTGGTGGAATTGCTGAATCAGGGATTCCCTTGAGAGGGTTTTCAACAGAGCATTAAGAGAAAAACCATATCAGAGATGTTGAATTCTGTCTTATAAAAGTTTCTCTCTCCCCATGAACTTTTCTTGGATTTCATGAAATTGTACAATGCTTCAGAAAGTTAGGGGCTGTCCTTCCCAAAGGAAACCAGCTCCTTCCTAATCCCCTTCCTCAGCCTTCTCTGGAGACATATATTTACTTCCCATGCCATAAAATAAAACTGGTATACAAAGAAGGCAGAATTACACAGTTAATAACTACTGAATTACTTCTTCGACAGGAAAAACATCTAAGATTGCCCAATACTGGGTCCCCAATCAATGGTGGACACCACAAGCATGAACAAGTGAATTTTTTTTTTTGAGTTGGGCTCAGTGGCCCACACTTGTAATCCCAGCAAATTGGAAGGCTGAGGTAGGAGGATTGCAAGGTGAAGACCAGCCTCAGCAACTTAGATTCTATCTCAAAATAAAAAAGAAAATGGGCTAGAGACATAGCATAGTGGTAGAATGCCTCTGGATTCAATCCCCTGTATAGGAAGAAAAAAAAGAAAGAAAGAAAAGAATTTTTGTTGTTGAAATATTGTTCTTATGGACAGAAGTACAATCCAATGAGCTTTCTAAAGAGATAAAGGGCTAGAAAGGATGTGTGAATCATCTGTCGTTTTCCTTGGAGATGGAAAACTAAGGCCCAGAAAGACTCAGGATCAATATCTCAATAATCACTAAATGAACCCCAGAACTGGCTCACACAGTGTTCAACTAGTTCAGAGCAGGGCTTAATTATAGTCCAAATATCAGATATTGAGTACAACTCTTTCATTTTTTTTTTTTTTTTCTGCAGTACTAGCATGAAACCCAGGGACCTCATGCGTGCTAGGCAGGAGTTTTACCACTGAGCTACATCCCCAGCCCTTTTTATTTTATTTTGAGAGAGTGTCTCCCTAAATTGCCAAAGCTGACCCTGAACTTGTGATCCTCCTGCCTCAGTCTCCTGAAGGGCTCTTCCAGGCATGTACTACCACACCTAGACAACTAGTACAATTCTTTTTTTGTTGTTGTTGTTTGTTTGTTTTTCCTTGTGGTACCAGGGATTGAACTCAGAGGCACTTAATTACTGAGCCAAATCCCCATCCCCCTCCTTTTTAAAAAAACTTTTTAAAAAATTTAGTTGTAGATGGACACAACCTTTATTTTATTTATTTATGTGGTGCTGAGGATTGAACCCAGTGCCTCACACATGCAAGGCAAGCACTCTGCCACTGAGCCACAACCCCAGTCCCCCAGCCATTTTTTTTTTTTTTTTTTTTTGTATTTTATTTGGAGACAGGGTCTCACTGAGTTGCTTAGGGCCTCGCTAAGTTGCTGAGGCTGGCTTTGATCTCCCAATCCTCCTGCCACTGGGATTACAGGTGTGCACCACCATGCCCTGCTAAATCTTATTCTCCTGTGTTTAAAGTTGGAAATTGGATCCCTGGGATGGTCACACCATGTTGGTAGCTTGAAATCAGCCATGATGTTTTTTTTCTTTCTTTCTTTTCTTTTCTTTTCTTTCTTTCTTTTTTTTTTTTTTTTTGTACTAGGGATTGAAACTAGAGGCATTTTATCACTGAGCTACATCCTCAGACCTCTTTTCTTTTTTAGTTTGGGACCAGATCTCACTAGGTTGGTTAGGGTCTTGATAAATTGCTGAGGSTAGCTTCCAATTTGCAATCCTCCTGCCTCAGCCTCACAAATCATTGGGATTACAGGCATGCACCACCACTACCCAGTTCATGGTGGGAATATTTGCACCGTAGAAATTGRCCAACAGAATAAAGCAGCCTTCCTCTACCTGACCCTTTTGAGAGCCAGGTGTTAAACATTTACTGTTACAATCTAGCTATGAAAACACTGAGCAGGTGACCTCAGATTGCTGTCTTCAAAGCATTATAACTTTCCATGTTGCACCATGCTGTACGCTCTCAAATCCATCATAGCCCATTTCTTATTAATCAATGAACCAGCAAATATTTTCCTGAATGATTGCTCTGTGCCGTCCCTGCCTATAGTTCATTTGATTTTTATAATATCACTGTGATACAGTTACTATAATTTCCATCTTACAATGGAGGGAACTGAGAGTTATAAATGAGTTTTTAACTACAGACTATTGCCCATCTTAGGTTGGTTTCCCCAGAAGTAGAAATTGATACAAAGATTCAAGTGCAAGTGCAAAGTGGGTAGAGAAGTGAGCCAGGAAGCGGAAGATAGCCAATGAAGGGAACAAGTTACCACTAAGAGCAATTCAGTCCTTCTAGGAAACTTTAGAGATAGCATAGACCATGTCCCAAAGTAACCCCAGGAGGTGAGGGAGCAGGAGTGTTTAAACACCTTCTCCCCTCAGTCATTGGTTGAGGCCTAGGGAACATAAGCAGGACACTGACAGTGTCTATTACATTACCCCAGATCTTGCAGTTAGAAAATGTTAGAATGCAAGTCAAGTTCCAAATTCAATTTTCATTCGCACTTAGAGAAATGAGCAGTTACCAAACACAACTGAGTGCCGGCTCAYGTAAAACACCACGTTGATGAAATGAACCTACTTAACCAAGTTATTTTGGGTTGCTATATCCAAAGAAAACACAAGGCATCTTTTTATCAATTTTCATCAACAGAAAAGGGGGAAAAAAAGGTCCTTGTAAGTCACTGCCTTCTCCCTGGAATTAGCCAAATGCCCTTCCAGTTCTCCTTCTTCTGTGAGAGATTTCCCTCTGATTCAGCCACAGATGCCTTGGGCAGAAGTTCCAGAGCCTCAAACTATCATCCCAAATGACTGATTACAGGTCTCAGAGTCTGCCATCCCAGGGATGATGGAAAATGACCCACTGGCAGCTCAGCCAGTTGAGTCTAAGGATGTCCTTGTTTATTACGCCTCCTGCCCCATCCACTAAACCCCAAGGCCACATCCTCCATGGGAACCCACAAGCAGGCCAAATAAATGAAACCAACAATCACAGGTCTGTGGGAGTTTACCCCATCTTAAGGACTTTAAAAAAAAATTCTTCTGGAAGGAAGGGAGGTGTTTAAACAGACAATGTCTCACTGGCATAAATAAATGGACAATATTGTAAAAAGTGATAGGAGGGKTGGGAGGTGGTAGGAGGAACTGCTACTCTAGCTTTATAAACTCAGCTGAAGCAGCTCTTTGCATCCATGACTTGAAGACCGAGACTGGACAGCTTGTTCCATTTCAAGCACACTGCTGAGATCTGCCCAGTTTTTCACTAGGGGAGAGAAGGAGGCTGGGTCAAGCCCTGGAATTGTTCTTTGTATCCTCAGTCTACCTCCCAGCCTCTCTTTAGGGACTGTCTGGGTAACCTGGCCCTGCCTCCACACCCCCAACCTCGGGGCAGTGAAGACATTTCCTGACAAGTATCCCAGCAAAGCCTGAGAGCCATAATCTGGCCCAGGTTCTTTTGTACTTTGATGACAGGTCCCTTTCTGGCAAGCCTCACAGTCCAGCTCTTTGAGGCAGCAGAGGTGCCAAGACGCTCGGCTCTGGGCACCTCTCCAGCCAACTTTCTCAGCCATTCCTAAGCGGCTCACACACTGAACTGCAGACAAGAAGCCTGTCTCTGTGACACCAGGAAATAGATCAGGAAATAAAAGCTAAACCAGTAGGACATGTACCAGATGGCCCAAGGCATCTGAGAATGAGGAAGAGAGGTAAGAGATGAAAAATAATCATCTACCATACCCCACGCTGGCTGCAGTGTCATACAAACTGGGAAACAGACCTGAACCTCCTAAGAGAAGCCACCCAGAGACGCAGAGAGATGGACTGTGGAGCCCCAGGAGCAGAGGAAGCCTCAGGAAGGTAGGAATGATGCTGGCTGGACCAACACACTCACAGGGACAGCACATGCTCTAGCTCACCTGGYCAGCTGCACAGAATGCGCCCCTACCTTCCCTGGGGAGGAAGCTTCAGTGGGGGACTTCAGATCCTCTGACCTCCTCTCAGCCTGGATCCTTGAAATTGCCCCTCATCATTCTAATGGGATTTCAACAGCTTAGAAAGTACTGAAGTGCTTGGGATAGGTCTAGGCTATACCCCAAGTTTTATCCTGTGTCTCCCCAATACATCACTTTGTTGTCCAATTTGTTAAAAAAAAAAAAAAAAGGAGTAGGTCTTGCCTTCCAGGCCCCCCAGCACAGGAGATCCCAAACTGTACCAGTCCAACACCCCCAGGTGCCCAGGCAGGCTACATGCTCTGCCTCCATCTTCTCCCAGGGCAAAAACTACCGTCTGTCCAAAACCCCACCTCTGCAAGTTCAGACACCATTCCATKCCCTCTTCCAGAGGGAGATTCCAGATGTCAGCCTGCCCTGTCCAAAGGAGAAAATAGAGCCCACATTCATGGCCCTAAGGCCAGGGAGGCTCTCTGATCCTAAACAGGCACCTCTTAAGAGGACAAGACCTCAGTTCCCAGGATACAAGTTAAAAACAAAACAAAAACAAACAACAACAGCAAAACTGTTCTTAAACCCAATATATGTTTGCCTTGAGAGGTTTCTTTAACCCTCAGACAACCTTCAGATAAAGTACCCAGTAAGTAAATGTGGGTTGAAAAGTAAGATGGGTCAACCTCAGATCCCCATCCACAGGCTCCTTAAAGAAGAACTTGGACTCCCACCTGTTTAAATAGAATTGTGGTCACCAATTCTTTCCTCCAATTGTGTCAGAACTAACTGGCAGGAATAAAATTTGCTCAGAGACAAATCGCTATTTGTGGTTCCATTCCTTCACACATTCATTCATCACACGGAAGGTACTTACTATAACCCTGGCCCGCTGCAGACTAGGACTCTGCTCTCCGGAGGAATGCCTTCTAGGCCCCTGGGTTCCAGATACCTGAGAATAAAGTGTATGCAGCCCTAAGAAACCTGGCTCTCAGCTTCTTAGTTATGGAGGTACAGAGGTGCTAATGGACAGTGCAGAGGCCACACATCATCCAGAAAAACAGAACTTTTGGTCTCCCTTTCAGGCCACCTCCACTCTCCGCTGTCCCCAGGGCTCTCTGGCTTAGAGCTGAGTGCACTATGAAATGCAGAAGTTGCCTAGGCCGCCCAAAGCACCTGCTCAGAAAGGACTCAAAGCTGGGTCCCCAGTGACCTCAGGCACTAGCTACCCAGGCGGCCGGGAGACCGCAAAGAGGAAGTACACCGAGGACCACAGGCCTCCGAGCTCCCAGCAGCAGTTCGCAAGGCAGAGAGAGCCATGTGCGCGCCGAGTCCCTGCGCTGGGAACCGGGATTAGCCTTTGGGGAACTTGTCCAGCTTCCAGGAAGGAACCGGAGAATTGGGGTCGGACACTCCCCAGGGCTGCTGGGCCTGCCCAGCTCTGCACCTGCTACCAGGCTCAACTTCACCAGGGAGTCCCAGAGACCCTGAATCTGGGTTGGGGGCACTTTCCTGCCACCACCCTTGGCGCGGAGAGAAGGATGGACCCCCCCCCCAAGGGTTAAAGGGGAGGAACTCAGAGCCACAACTTTCTTGGGGCGGAAGGCGGGTGGGCTGGGGCTGGGCGCCTACCAGGCCCTCGGGGCAGTTCTCACGCCTGGGCTCCCCCGATGGCTGGGGGAGAAGGAAAGAGACTGGGGGCAGGAGAAGACTGAGGGGCTGACCGGGACGGGACAGGGGSCACGGAGGAAAAACTTTGGGCGAGGTGGGGCGACGCGGGAAGGGGACCGCCCGGTGCCCCACACCTTGCGCCCAGCATCGGGCGCCCGTGCCTAGCTCCCAGCGCCCGGTGCCAGGTGCCTTGCCTGCGTCCCGGGCCAGCTGCATCCCGCGCGCGCCGCTGGGACCGAGGAGTTGCAAAGTGGGGGCGCCGCTGCCGGGGGCGGGGATGCTCCAGCCGCGCCTCTGCCAGCGACCGGCGGCCCAGCTCAGTCGGGCCGGGCGGCGGCGGAGGTGGCAGCGCTCTGGGGGGTCGGCCGCCCCGCCCTCCTTGCTCCCCTCCGCCCCTCCGCGCCCTCCTTCCCGTCCCTCTGCCTTTATCTGCCCTACCGGGTCTGACCGTCCTCTCTCCTCCTCTTTCTCTGGCTCTCCATCACTCCCCCACCCTCTTCGCTCGCCTTTCTTCCTTCGCTCCTCTCCCGCCCTCCCTTCCCCTCTCTCCCCTCCAGAGGGCGGAGCTTCTCCCCTCCCTCTTAGACAATGCTGTGACTGCTCGTCCCCTTCCCCGCCCGCCAAGTCGGGGCTCGGGCTGCCAGGGCTTCTTCCGGGCTGGGGGAGGTGAGAAGGGGGTAAGTGTGCGGGGTGGGAAGATGAGCTCGCTACTCTCACCCCATCGCCGCTGCCGTCTCCAAGTGGGATGGAGACTTGGCTCCGGCTCCTCGGCTCGCCTGGCGCGGTGACAGCCACTCCCAGGGAGTAGTCACCCTGCTCTACCGAGCCCACCTAGAGCGACCGGATTCCCCACGCAGGGGATGTGCCGTTTTACTTGGTTTGGTTTTTATCAACATCATCCCAGCTTATTCCCCCAAAGGGTTGAGTTGGGCAGAGGCTAAACACGCCCTGTCGACTTGGCGGGCTGGCAGACGTGACAGCAATGTGAAGGAGGACAAGTTTCTTTGTCCATCTTTCACCTCCCCCTCTTCTCCATCCCTGGACCTCCGGGCACTTCCAGGGTCCAGGAGGAGGTCCTCAAACACCCCAGCTACGGGTTCTCTATCCTCCTTTCAGATTTCTCCCCCCACCCCCACCCCGCATACATACCTCCACCCCGCAGAAAGGTCCCAGCCAAAGGGGAAGGGAGCATAACGATTAATGGTGGCCAGTTCCCCAATTTACAGCCCGATCAGCTCATCCTGCTTGGAAGCCAAACATTCCTTATTGAATTCATTGTTTGGATCTTGGAATGTGTCTCCCTTAGAAACAATGTTATAAATGGTGATCTGCTTCCCAGGCCAGCCACAAAAGTCTGTTGAACCCAAAATGCAGTTGCAGGGCCTTAAGGAGAACTGTCAGCTACCCTGAACAAGAAGGCCACTGATTAGCTTTTTCTATTGAAAATAAATAAATAAATATGCTTTTTTTTTCTCCTTGAGCTAGAAAACATAAACCTTTCCCATTAATGTTCCCTCTTTGAAGCCACTATTCTGTTAAGCTTCTTTCTTTTGCAGGTAACAGGAGGACCCTCAGGGAATGTATTCTGAGGACGTGGGAGTTTCTCAGGTCAGAAACTGTTGGGAGAACTCAGTAAGAGGAGATGCAGAGCTGGAAGGCTTCCAGTAACCCTGGATAAACCTTCTCCAAGGGGTTTTTTCTTCTCTTCTAGAGTGATCTTTTCTGCTCTGCAGACACATGACCAAAAGTAGTCATGACTTCTATAACTAGGGCTTGGTGCAGGGCTACTCAAGAAAGCAGCCACATGCTGCTAGAATCCCTTAGTCTCCCTGGAAAGTAGCTCACAGGCTTACCTTGAATCAGGTGACCATCCTATGACCCATCCCCTGAGCCACGTGTAGGCTCCCTTGTCCCATGTCCCATCAAGTACATTGACCCTATAATTTGTTTAAAACCAAACCCATTTCTCTCTAATTATATTCTCCATCATGGTAAATACATTGATTGATTGATTGATTGATTGAAGACACTATTCATCAGTTTCCCTTAGAAGCCACAAGAGAAAAAGGAAAAGTCTGTCTACCTTCAAGAAAAGATAGGGACAATACATCTGAGATAAAGATATTTTGAAAATATTGCATTAATATTGCATTAAAGTCCACCCTTGAGGGCTGGGGATGTGGCTTAGTAGAAAAACACTTACCTAGCATGTGTGATGCTCTGGGTTCCATTCTCAGTACTAGAAAAAAAAAAAAAAAACAACCATGTTTTCTTATAGGTTTCCACCCTCATACCCAAAATGGTATAGGGAAGCAGCAGGTGAGCCTTCCAGAAGGAATTCTTCAATAAAAATAAAGAAAAGTGCTGGGGATGTAGCTCAGTGATAGAGCATTTACCTACCATGCATGAGGTGCTGGGTTTGATCTCCAAAAACGCCAAAAAACACAACAATGAAAGCACACTGGAGCCACAGATGTGATTTTAAACTTACTTTCTTTCTTTCTTTTCTTTTCTTTTTTTTTTTTTTTTTGGTACTAGGGATTGAACTCAGGGCCACTTAACCACTGAGCCACATCCCCAGCCCTATTTTGTATTTTATTTAGAGAGAGAGGGTCTCACTGAGTTGCTTGGGCATCGCTAAATTGCTGAGGCTGACTTTGAACTCTCAGTCCTGCTCCTGGATTACTGGGATGTCACTGCATCCAGCTTGATTTTAAACTTTCTAATAATCACATTAAAAATGGTAAAAAGAAACAGGTGAAATTAATTTTAATAATACTTTTTATTTAACCCAGTATACCCAAAGTATTGTCGTTTCAACATGTAATCTATGTTTTATTATTCATGAGATATTTTACATTCTATTTTCATACTTGAGCAGAAATTAAGTATATATTTATACTTCTACACACCTCAATTCAGATTTAAATTTTCATTAAAAATATTCAAATTGCAGTTATATAAAACTAGTTGTAGATTCATATAACCAAGTTGTTCCAAACATACTTAAATGGTCCCCAGCAATTGAATTGAGTATCAGTGTATAAATTTTATTTTTATTTTTATTTTTTTAAAGAGAGTGAGAGAAGGGAGAGAGAGAGAGAGAGAATTTTTTAATATTTATTTTTTAGTTCTCAGCGGACACAACATCTTTGGTGGTATGTGGTGCTGAGGATCGAACCCGGGTCGCACGCATGCCAGGCGAGCGAGCTACCGCTTGAGCCACATCCCTAGCCCCAAATTTTAATTTTAGATATGAATAAATAAGCTTAGAAGTCAGTTCCCAGGGGCACTGGACATATTCCAAGTACTCAATAGCCACATGTGACAAGTGGCTTCCACAGGGACAGCACAGGCCCAGAGAGTAAGAATTCACTGACACATCTACAAAAGAAGATCCAGTCAGTCATAGAGAAATAAGGAAGTCTAAGCAAATCTGTTCCTGGGACCCCACCATACCTGGATATGCCAGGCACACAGCAAGGTGGGCTGGCTGGAGATTTGTTTGCTACGGAGGTTAAATAATAATAATAATAATAATGATAATAATAATAATAATATCCCTCTTGGAAGGTCACCTCACTCTGAGGGAAGTAGAAAACAAGTTTGGCCCAGTAAAGCCATGAAAGAGAGTTGAAGTGGCCCCAAACTAGACCCATAGAAGGGAACTCCTGGGAAGACCAAAGGGGTTCTGAGTTTCAAAGGACTGTTTTGTGCTCCTCAGGGATACTGAGAGGCTCAAGTAGCCATCTTTGGGGATCACCCTGTGAGAAACACTGAAGGGACTAACATGCCACCATTCAGCTTCTCTGTTTCAAGGGCTTGGTAGGTCAACAAGAATACCCAGAAAGGGGTAGAATGATTGCCCAAATGGTCACAATTACTCCCCTCCCGGCCTGCATTCTCTTTGCAATGAGACTTTGCAGTTCCTCCAGTTTCTCCACCTGGAATGTGGGCTGACACTGTGACTTGCCAATAGAACATAGCAGATACTGTATTGTGCCTTTCCAAAGCCTGGGCATCAAGCAAGAAGCCCTATAGTCTTCTACTCTCTATTGGAACTTTGTATCTACCATGTTCACAAACCTTGGGCTGGCCCACTGGAAGATGGGAGACCACACAGTCCAAGGCCAAGTCAGCTGAGTTGTTCCAGCCAAAACCCTAGGTGTGAGAGAGTCCAACCAAAATCAGTAATTCCCTCTCCAGCTGCCTGGGTTTGATTGTGTCCCCGCAAAGTTCACTCTTTGGAAGCTTAATTCCTCCCTGTGGCAGTGCTGTGTGGGGGTGGTCAGGTCATGGGAGCTGAGCCC